AAGCACTGGTTTAGACGGTTCAGACAAATTGTGAACCAGTGTTTCTCCTGGGAGACACTATGATATTTGTTTACAGTTTGAAGTGCGAGTAGAATGACACCCTGCTGAGAAAGCAGTGGCACAAAGAAAAAAAAGAAGCTATTATCCATCCACTGCTTTTAATAAGGTTTTGCAAACATGGATAGTTTGTAGCAGAAATACTTAGTGACAAAATGCACCATTGACCAGTTTTGAATTAAAAATGGTTACAAGGCATCTGAATAGTGTTGAATACTGCAGTTCTTTGGTTTTTCATATGAACAGTCAACAGTAGACTGAGCTGACTGAGCAGCAGCCTCTGCATTCATTTCTTTAGAGCAAACAAATGTAATAACTCATTCCCCTGACTTATCTTTATGAAAACAATATTTAATCCTTGTTTTTACCCAAGTGGATCTCCAATGAAAGAGCCATCCTGTACACAAACTACTGTAACATTCATAAATAGATGATTCATAATGTTTCGCTAAATTATGTCATTGTTATTACTAGTAAATGATATGTGAATCATTTAATCATTTATTAATATTGGTGACATTTGTTTTTTTCCTTTTGAGCTATTTTTTGTATTCTATATAATTTTTTTCTAATCCAGTTTGTCTTCTATATTGTGTTGTTTCCTTTATCTTGTCTTTTGTGTCTTGCGTAAAGCACTTTGAATTGCCTTGTTGAACAATGCTATAAATAAATGTGCCCTGTATAATGTTATTATCCACATGTTTTATTACTATTAAGACATATATACAGTGTAGCAGAAAAGTTTGTGAACCGTGAGTCTGCCTCACAGTGGACTGATGAAACTAGCTTTCCCCAGACATATCTTGCACAACATGGAAAAATATATTGTTTTATTTAATTATTTTGACAGATATAGCAGTATGATTCATAATTATTGTGTGAATGTTCATTGAAAAAAATAAATTAAATTGAAATCATGCTGTGACATTGGTTGGGGACGTTTTTCTTAAATATGGAAAATAAGATTTGTAGGTCAAGGCAGCTCTGCAGCAGCACAGTACTTCATCATAATGCTGTTTGTCACACATTTTATCTTTATCAAAGAAAATAGCAGTTTCTGGGATTTGGATATATATTGGTTTTGCACCCTTAAAATGTCCAATGAGCATAGAGAAACTTTCCACACATTTTTGAATGAAGGGGGGCTTTAACATTTTGTTCTTTGTTATGATTACATCACCTCATTATCTATACAACCCTGACATCCTTTCTGACATGCTGCTCTGAAATGGTTTTGTGGCAACAGGATGGCGTACTGATTGGAGATCATCCAGAGGACACTGGTTGAAGCCTCTACATCGCCAAACATCTAAACTGTGGACCTGTATGATAAACCCGGGGTTGTTTACATGTGTGGGATGGCTAGCTCGGGGAGATCAATAAAGTATCACACTGACAAATAACTGACACTGACAACTGGGGTTTGAGTCACACCGGGTAAGGGGACTTAGCGCTCTGGGTCATCCCTCATCTATCAACCAATCTTTTAGTTTCACTGCTCGACCTAAAAAGAACATTCGCAGGTTGTCTTTATAGCATATCGTCTGATGAATTATTGAGGAGCTCCTCAAAGCTCTGATCTTGTCAGAGTAAAACCGATATAGTGCCTACAACATCCTGGGACTGATAAGTAGCTTGGAGGTATGCGAGAGAGGAGAAGTCGGGCTGAGGTAGAGAAAAGACAAAGTGAAATATGGAGATGAAATGAAAGTGTTTTAATGAGCAGGGCTTGTTGGAGAAAGAGCCATTTGGGTAATATCTTTTCTAATTGTGCATCACTGAGAATACAATTAGTGTCTATAGATGACTTTTCATTTATGTATGTTAACGCAAATATACAAATATCCTTTTTTAGCAGCTTTTTTTTCTGTCTGTGCATGATCACTTTCTCACTCTACCCCCAACTACATGTTTCATCTTTGTAATCCAGGTCCCCACTTCCTGGGTTTCGTCACTCTTCTGACAGAGGCTCATTAACAACACTGGAAGATCCAAACCACAGCTTTAATTGGGTGATGTAATTAAGGCTCCCTAACAAAGTCAAAGTTTAATTAGCCTGGTGGGAAAGGCAGGAATCATTCACAGGAATTTTTTGCTCTGCTCGCTCTCTCAGTTTCGCGTCCTCTTCTTCCTCTCTCTTGCAAACCCTCTTTTTCTCTCTGTATTTCCGTCTCTCTCCTCTCCCCCATTTCTCTCTTCTACTTTGAGCGCAGAGGAACGTGACACAAATCTCAATGAGGGTCAGTCCTTCACAAATGCAGCTCCCTTCCAGCTCCTTTCCCGCTCATCTCTTCCTCGGGCCCCTTCCTCCCTGAATCCTGCTCTTTGTCTATTTTGCATCCAATCTGAGCACGTCAGCAAAGCACGCGACTGCGGCCGCCACGCGATCACTGTCTGGGCTTTTCACATTGAGGGTCATCATTTAGCACTAGACCTGAGCTGTTATAAGGCAAGTTGCATCCCTTGAATTGTGTGTTGTAGTACTACAGCTGGTTGTGTATACTGTAAGGAGTATTGATCCTCATGTATTCACAGCAGTCATATCTCGCTCAGCTTAATAGAAAATCCACAGCTGTGCTTAAAATTTTTTCTACTTCCTGAAGGCAGTTCAATATCACAGAGCTGCCTTCTCTAATGTAATTGAAAACACTGGGAAATGGTCCTATCATACAACGAGTATAGGCCTGTGTTTGTGGAGCACTGATTGAGAGGGGACATGTTTTGCGGACAATGCCGATTCTTCTCTCCTTGTCCACAGTTTTCGCCCAGGCTTATCCGACCCCGCTGGCTTGCCTCGCTGAAACTCTCGTGGCATCTGGAAGGTGCGATACGGAGCGCGCGTGTGTGAGCGAGTGTGTTTGTTGTTTCTCAGGAGAGATGGCTGCAGAGAGAAAACTTTACACCCACAGAACGAGAGAGACAAGTGTCTGTCTGGAAAGGTGAGCACGTCTGCCACTGTGTGTGTGTTTGTGTGGGCACACGAGAGAGAGAGAGTTGCGTTTCCCCACGGGAGATTAAGCCTGGGCATAGCATCCAGTGAAAAACTCTCATTTCTCCTTTCGATAAGAAGGGAATTGAGTCTCTATTTCGGTCCCAACCACCTACAGAGAAAACCACAGGAGAATGCTACCCTCGAGTTTCTCAACACAGGTTCAGATCAGTTTCTCCTCACACAAACTTACTGATTGCTATAATCTCCTGCCATTTACAGTCCAACATATATTCTATTCAAACCACTAATCCCCAGTCCTGAAAAACTTTGAAACATGTAGCCTAGGGAAGTGAAGTGCTTTTTCACAAACTTACTATTATTGTAATCCATTGTTTTTTAAAGGTTTTTTTGGGGCTTTTTATTTGATGAGACAGGTAAAGATGGACAGGAAACAGGGGAAGGAGAGAGGGGGGACTTGTTCTTTCATTGTTTGCTGAAGGTCTGCTCTATCCTAAAATCAGGCCTTTATGTTGTATAATTCATGGTGGACCTATACTCAGATTAGTGGTACATTTTCAATTTTGTTATTTAGATTTCTTTCTATTTTTAGCCTTAAATGAGGCCCTAATAAACTGTTTATGCTCAAGCTTTTTTTCACAGCAGTTTCTACCAGGGATGGGGATGAGGAACTCAAGGGGTAAGATATATAAACAGTGTTATACGCAACAAAGTGCACGAGTAAGAATATATGTAGTTTAAGTACAGACCTGAATGTAGATCAGTGACAAGATCATCTCTTGTCACATGTTAAATATGGGTCTTTTTAAGTATAGTATTTTTAAAGCAAAATCCTGTGACTACGGGTGGCTAGCCAACCCTGCGCACTTGCTCATAGCTCGTCGTTGCTAACAGAGCAAAATGGGAGGTGTGCATTTGAATCTCAGTTGGCAAAAACTTATTTTCCATTTTCCAAATAGCGTGGTTGAGGTTTGATTTATTAATTTTTCCCTTGCCTTCCTTAATAGTCCTGTACAGGTCCATAACTCTTTACTGCTCTGTATCGCTCAGTACTTGCTAAATTATGCTTACATGAAAAATAAGAGAGATTGAATAATAATAAACTACTTTTTGATTAAGTTGTATTTGATTCATTGCAACCTGCCCATTGATCTATAATATGCAAATAAAAAAAAAGTGTGCATTTATAAGATTCTTATCTTGTATCTTAGCTGTTATTAACAGGCTTCCAGAAGAACAATCTGAATCCCTAGAAGTCGACACCATAACAGCGTGTATACTGGCAGCGATTTAATGATAGGTTTCGTTGAGGCAATTGCTGTTTCCATCCCACCCACACCAGTCATTTAAATCTGTAATGCCATTTAACAACAAAAATCTTGTCAGACAGAATCTTTCAGGATGAAATGTCATTAAATATGGATCTGCATATCTCTATTTTGATTTTTGCAATTGTAGAGGAAGAAGTCATTTGAATCACACTGATTCACCGTACGTGGTTCTTGGCAGTTTCAAGTATGGTCGGCTTAATAGAGCTAGAAACCACAGAGGCAGGGAGTAAAACACATGGCCTTTAACTTCCACCTCCTGTCATGGTGTCAGAACATTACTTGACCCACTGTTCACACTTACAGTGCCTCAGCCACCAGGCCTGCCAGCCCACAGCTGTGTGCCGTGCAGAACAAGATGCGTTTCCACGTTGAAACTGTCCTGCCTTGTTACAATCGGGGCAGGAGATTGGAGCAACAGCTGGGCAAATGCCAGATACTAACACTTGGCTGAGCGACTGACGGACCACGGTGCTGCTGACTGCCTGCTGCTTTGAAAACCAATAAGAAAGGGTACACATCTGGCCAGTCAGAGCTGCATATAGAGGGCTGCACAGTCACAATATAAAAGTGGAGTAAGGGATCTAGCAGTAGTCTGTTTCTAGGCTGCACTTTGGTTTCGGACACCAAGTACTATGAAGACAGAACCCCCTGAGTTGACTCACCATTTCCAGGCTCACACTCCTCCAAATCTTCGTCATCACTAGGACACTCAGCTGATGCTACCAAGAGGTCATCGGCATTCTGGAGGAACAGAGACAAAAAGCAGAACAGATACAGTCAGGACAAATTTTATTGGATACACAGAACATCGAAGAGGATTAAGAGCCTCTGGCAGCCACAGATGTCTGCTTACACACAAGCTAATGCAACCAGTAGAGACAAACTTACAAAACGCTGTAGGTAATATAAATCCTTCTGTGGATTTATTGTTGAGCACTTTAGTAGTAGCACATTTGCTAAAAAATATGGAGGTGGGTAGCTTTATGAGTGGCACCCATGTGTATTTATGTAAGCAGAGATGTGAAGCTTGAGGGAAGTCAAAGTGAAACAAGCTCTTTCTGACCAAACACCAACCAATCAAAGAGGTGTAGCTTGGCATCCTCCATCGTGTGGGCACAAACATCAGAAAATGCAGGCTCTCTTGCACAATTTTCATTTATGTTTATCTATATCAGGAATCTTTCTTTCTTGACCCAGCTTGTAGACATTTCTCTGTGACATTTGAGCTATGTGATGAAGGAGACAGCAGACCTGAAGTCTGTTAGAGTTTAAAAGTACAGCAGGTACAGCAGCGGGGGCTCAAGATGAAAACAGATTAAATCTGACAAGGTGGTTCCAATTTAGTAGCCAGGGTTTGTCCTCACTCCTGCATGACTCACACAGCTGCATGTCTAGACACTGAACCCCCCTACCCCCCTACCCCCCTAC